TGAAAATCTTATTTATTTAAGTTTTTCCGGCGAGAAAAGATTCCGACGGATATGTCCGCCGGAAAATTTTTAATTTTTTTTTATTAAGTAAAACCAAATTTTTTAATTAAGCCGGCGAAAGATTTCCGGCTTCCGAAATCCGCCGGAAAAGTGAAGAATCCGCCGGAAAACTCGAAGGAAAATAAATCACCGGCGCCCTCTTTTTCGGTTGAAAAAATCCACCGGAAATCCGCCGGAAAACCCAATTTCCGGCGGATTTGTCTGCCGGAAAAGAGGGTAATTTTGGTAGTGTTATAATTACATGATTTAACTCCTATATACGAGACCCTTTTTTGAGATTTAAAACATGAGATCATGTATTATTTTATATGATTTTTCATCTATGATTAGAATCCGAGGGCTGCCTGTTTAAGTCTTAATGATACCCATTAAGAGTAACCGTCATGATTGGGAAAAAAGGAACAACCCTCTTAATGATGCTAATTAAAAATCCCCTGATACGTCATATAAACTTGTAAACATGTCATAGACATACTAAACTCTTGGTGAACAAAATATATACATACATATATATATATATATATATATGTATGTACATATATATATACTTAGATGGTGAAAAATCATGTGGAACTAAACCTTAAGATAGAAAAACTCACAAATTTTGGAGTTCTCAAATATAGGGTATGGTTCAAGGAAAACCATTAGAAAATGAAAAACTGAGGAACACCACAATAACTGTTAATCTGTGCGGTATATACATGTGCATACAAGTAATTTGTCCGATATACGCATGTGTATAAACATGCACACATGCATATAAACTAGAAAATTAACATCTTCAGTTACTTGTACGCATATGTATATACCATGCACATTAATAATTATTTGCATCTCTCTTAAGTTACTCATTTTTCTATGGTTTTTCTTTGCACCCAACTGTCCTATGTGTGTGTATATATATAGAGGTGGATTATTATACAATCCTTTACATTTGTACAATCAATACAACTCAATCTCAACCGTCCATCTAATTTGATGAATATATGATTTCATAAAAGTTTTAATTGTTTCTTAATATAAAGTATTGATCATATATATTACATATGACCTATATAGGGTTTTTCCATCCCTACCTCATACTTTTTATTTTCCCCTACTTTTTCCATACCACCATCTACTTAAGACAATAAAATAAGTTTGTTTTTTTTTTTAATTTTAACCCTTGATATTTTTAGTTTTAACACTTCAACTTTTTAAATATTTTTCTATTATATCCTCTACGTTTATTTTATTTTTAATCTATACTATAATTATATATATTAATTAACTATATATTATTACTAACTAGAAGCGTACTCGCGCAATGCAGCGAGATACATCGTGTTTTTAATATTTC